CGATGCTCAATCAATCCGGTCATCAAAGCCAACAGAAGGTAGATGTGGATTTCGTTCGTGCAACTCTTCTTGATTGTTTTGAACTCAAAAGTCTTGATCAAACTCGTAGGCGAGGAACTATCAATGTTGTTAACCGACGCAGTTATAGCCCCGAGGTAGGCTTCTGTCTTCTCGCTCTGGTGGAAAAGCGCCGCTACGTGAAGACAGTGAGTAGGGCTTCATTGACAGAGGCTTCTTGGTGTGCTTGGTCGTACAAGAGCATTCTACGAGGTGCCAAGGAAGGATGATCAGTCGCAACCCAACACTCCCACCTCAAACCATACTGAGGTTTTCGGAGACATGATTGGAAAAGGAGAAATGCTCAAGGGCCCCGAGGAAACAGCCAGATTTTGAAAAGTTCAGATGCAGTTGAACCTCCAAATTTTCATTCATCCACGAGATGTCACACTGCATATTGAGAAATAGGATAGAGCGAACCAATAATTGCATCATCCGCAAATTCGACAAGCTATTATATATATTCGAGGTAAGCGAAAGATGTGTTAGATATGTAGTTCCTTAGTGAATGCTAAATGTAAAGGTTTTGAGATTAGGATACTTATCCAGAATAACGTATAACTGGTTTTCGGCCAGTAAACAAGTAAGATGGTATGCATGACAATGAATAGTAGTAGTAGTAGCCTGAGGAGAGAAAAAGAAGAGTGAGGTTGTCCTGTTTACATAATAAGAAACTTCGCTTTAGTCTAGGATACATACTAACAGAACAGGAAGATGAGGTAGCAGTAGTGAAACCGGAGCACTGAAAAGGAAAATGTTCTGAGGTAGTGCATATTTAATCTGGCTGCCAGTTTGACCTAAAGAAGCATTTATGAAGAGGCGATTGTAATTGGTTTTATTTGAGATTTACGCTCACCACGACGAATTGTTTTGAAGTCTTGTTTTAAAAGACCGGGAAACACTTCAGGGGAGCAATAGAGTAGAATGGGTAAAACGCATTGATGAACGAAAGATGACAGGACTGACTGTGGGGTTCGGAATTGCCTGAGTTTGCGTAACTCAAAGGATAGGCGTCTCAGTTTTCCCATACAGTTGTAAATATGTGTAGACCAACGAAGATTGCTGTCGATGGTGACACCCAGGTACTTGACTGACGTCATTCTGGAAACAGGTTTATCGTTAAGGATAGCAGAGTCCGTTAGAAATGAGGAGCGGCGAAGACTGAAAATACACACTTCGCACTTAGATATGTTAAGACTGAGACTAGATTGGTCAGAAAACTGTTGGATGTGGGATAGATTTTCAGTAAAAGAATGAAAGTCCGAGGGAGATGAAATTGTCTGAGACAGAACTACATCATCAGCATACTTTTTAATGTGCGCAGGGGGTGGGACCGAAAGATCACTAATAAAGGCAGTAAAAAGATATGGAGTCAGAACAGCACCTTGAAGAACACCAGACTTATTAACAAGAGGTTTTGATGTCTTCCTTCCTAATTTGATGCACTGGACTCTCTTTGTGAAATAGTCAGCAAGCCAGGACAGCATTTGTTTTGGAGTGCCAAAAGATTCAAGTTTGAAAAGAAGGGATGATCGGGAAACAGAATTAAACGCAGACGAATAGTCAAGAAAAACACAACGGACAGACTTGGTCGAATGGTTCAATGACTTACTGATAAAATGCATTAGAGTGGATACGGCGTCCAATGTAGATCTGATTGGTTTATTTGCAAACTGAAGGGGGTCGTAAGAAGTTGACTGCAATCGATTCAGGATAGTTTTTTCAGTTAACTTTAGAGCCCACGAGGTCAGCGCGTTATAACGAAACCTATCGGGGCCATATGTGGTTCGCCTCTCCAAGCCCCGGGGTTTAGATTGCCGGTTTCCACAACTGAACAGCAGGTCCTCGTGACTATGCGGTTCACCCGTCTGCTGTCCATCACACGTGGGAGTGTAATAAAAAAGAACAGTTGAGGACGAGGATTTAGGGATTGGAATAATGGTAACCTGAAACCAGTAATCGATCGGGAAGACAGGGGTTTATTCACGTTGGATGTCATCGTATTGGTCAGGAAAGCTGCTCCGAATTTCAAAGGTGCCGGAGGAAGACCACCAGAGCCTGCGGCTGAGGATACTTTGGAGGATCGAAGGAGCTTAAAGATTGGATCATTGGAAAATAGGACTGAACTGGATTCATTGCTTGGAAATGAGGAAATTTGGCTCTTGTTGGACGGGTGGATGAAAGCAGCGTTAGGGCTGTTGACGTGTTTTTTCTTCTGCCCACAAAGGTGAATACCCTGTCATAATCTTATTGCTCTTTATTTTTTATACATCTAAAATTTTCTATTTTCTTTTTCGTCCCTTCCGTCTCAGATTATGATGATCTCTTACATGCTCGACGGTGCCGGATACTTGATCTGTAATCGTGAATTTCTCTCTGAAGACATTGCAGATTTTGAGTTTACACCACGTCCTGAATTCCCTGGACACTTTAAAGTACACAATGTAGCTACCGAATTGGATTGTATCACTATGTTCTTCGAACATATTCAACGAGTGCGACCAAATGTGATAGTGACTTACAACGGAGATACGTTTGATTGGCCTTTCATTGAGGCTCGGGCTGCTCACTACGGACTCTCGATGTCTGAGGAGATCGCGTTCTCTCGCCAGAAAGCCACCCCTGGTCCTGGGCGTGACGGTTCTGCCGGAGAATATCTTTCTCGACCGGCAGTTCATATTGATTGTCTGTGTTGGGTCAAACGAGATAGTTATCTGCCTGTTGGTGCCCGTGGGTTAAAAGCGGTGGCCAAGGCGAAACTACGCTATGATCCGATCGAAGTTGACCCAGAAGCTATGTGTCGCATGGCTAGGGAAGCACCTCGAGAACTGGCTAATTACTCAGTGTCAGATGCCGTTGCTACTTACTATCTATACATGAAATACGTTCATCCTTTCGTGTTTGCTCTATGCACTATTCTGCCATTAAATCCGGACGATGTGTTACGTAAGGGTTCTGGAACTTTGTGCGAGGCTTTACTGATGGTACAGGCGTATGCAGCAAATGTCGTTTTCCCCCACAAACAGTCGGCAAACGGTGAGTCTGGTCCGGCAGGCCTAATCCCTGGTGGATCCAGCGCTTCCTGTCGATTTACAGAGGATGGAAAATTGATTGACTCCGAAACGTACGTGGGTGGACACGTAGAAGCTTTGGAAGCAGGCGTGTTTCGAGCGGATATTCCTGTGCGCTTTCGCCTAGTACCGGCTGCCTTAGAAGCTTTGCGTAATGATGTGAGACGGTGCCTGAAGAAGACTTTGCAAACAGAGGTTGGAGCTGAGGATGAAGAGGCGCTAGAAAGTCTTATCCCCAACGCCAACTTTGACAAGGTAAAAACAATGTTTTTTCTTCTTTGGCTGAAAGTTTGTACATATAACTCGCTAAAGCTTGAATACAATACAATACAATACAATACAATCTAATGATACTCTAGTGTTGAATAACAGGAGTAACCATGAAAATTATGTAAATTACCCGAACCATTTGTGCAATGCTGGTATTTAGGTTGTTGATATGAAACAATGTTTCTGTGGTTGGCGCGTATTTACTCAAATTATGGTGGTTAATTGCATAACTGTAATTAACTATCAAAGTCATTTACAGACAACATAATATATTCGACCGATGGCTTGTTTCTTAGTCTAGTGTCGGATGAACTTTCATTTGTCCTTTTCAAGAAACGTGTTATCAGATTTCAGTGAGTTTCACTATGTGATGGGGAAAACTATCCATGAAGATTTTTTCCGTGGATTTAAGAAGATTAATATTTTCAAAACGTAAATAATTAAATAATGCTCGGATGTTGAAATCTCTTTAGATCTGATTGGGGCTTTCGTGGCTAGCTACTTAACGCTTCAGGGCTTCGATTGTGGATTTTTACGATCGAACGACCAATCTTAGTGACTATGGTGTTTATACCGTCTACTGTCTATCTCACTGAGGTGAGCGAGGAAGGGGACGAGGTGTTTCATTATTCGCTCGCACAACATCATATGGATTCTGTCGATGTTTTCATCATTCTTGTTAATAACTGTTAAACAACTGAACTCTACAAGCTTGACAAACTACTGTTTGGTTGTATAAATCATCGATCTAAGCCCTCGGACTACATCAGGCCCTCATTGGATAGACATGACATTGGGCTGTTTGACAACAAACCTGCTTATCATCGAAGTTGGGTGACGGTTCCAGGGTTCGAATCTCAGGCCTAGAGGTCCGGAGAATGTTAAATACAGAACCTTATCCAACATCACCTTAGCCTTCAGTGTTTTTAGTCGCTTATCGTTGCGAAAGGAGATTCCCACTGAACTGGCAAATTCTGTACATAATTGTATTTAGAACTATCAGCTCCCGTAAGTGAGCAGTGGGTCCTTAGGGTCGGGAGGTGTACTCCTATTATTTATCATACTAAAATATGTGCTAAATTATTCTCTCTTTAGTAACAAGTCAGATTCAACCAGGATCTTCGTAAAAAAAC